ACACTTGTATAAGTTGCATATTGGACCATGATAAACTTTCAAACTATTCTCAATTCATGCTTCTAGGCCCCGCCCCCTAACATCTGATTTCCAATGAGCACAGAGAAACTTTCCACTTTTTAGCAGATGAATGTGAAAACATCGTTCTAGTGTCAAACTCTGCACATACATTATTCTGCACAGTGAAGCTCATATATCCATCTGTAGGAACCAGAAGAAAAATAAAATTTCTGAGTGGAGGGGGCCTTTAAACTAAAATCAGTGAGGCTAAAATGTTGGGTGCTAAAGCTTTTGACTTGAACAACTTGTTGGTGGTTTCAAAGAAAGAAGTGTCAGCTTGATAATCGTTCCTCAGGTCACCAAAGGATAACAGAGGGCGATAATAAACTTCCAGAAAGTTTAATGTGTTGATGGATGGCAGAGGTTTGCTCTTAAAGACGGAGGAAGCACAGTTAAAACTCACTGAACCTGCCCCCCTCCTCCTTCTCCATACTAACACCACTCCTCCCCTTCGCTCTCCTGGCATGGGATGAATGCCCTCCTGTACAGGAGAGTGAGGGGGCGATTATGCCGCAGGAGTTTTGCATGCAGGCCGAGACTCCGGCCCCAACCCACCCTGGTGGTCACAAAGAGGCCCTCTATTTCCCCAAACGCTGGACCTACACACATTCATGCATTCACTCCCAAACACAGACTTATATAGAGTGAGGGTTTGATTCAGAGAGTAAAAGGCTTTACTGATACACTGGTCAGGCATGTCTTTGGCACTAGTGTTGTCAGTGTTGTTGCTCCCCAAGACAAGGGACAATAAAGGAGGCCCACACTGTCTGTGTTTACATGGTGCTCTATGAAGGAGACTTTTGCCAGCAGCTCTCTAGCGTAAAAGCAACAAATAATTATTAGTAGTATAGATTCATTGATATTATTAATCTTCTGTTAATAAGATTTATTTCTTCTTCCTACAATCTGCTACAGACGTGAACGTGCCTCCCGTCCTCACCCCGCCCAGGGATGCGGGCTGCCGGACAGATCCAGCCCAGCCAGCTCTCCACCCTCCTGGGATCACAGCGCCTGCAGGGGCCCCTCCTGATGCCCCGCTCTCCTCAAGCACCTCCTCCTCACCCACCGCCCTTCCCTCTCTCTCCCGCAGTGACCCAGGTACTGGAGGAGGAGTAGGAGGAGGATTACAGAGCCGCAGCAACAGCTCTGAACGCCTGCTGGAGGCCTCTAGTGGTACATCTGAGGACTACCACGACGCTGACGGGACTCGCAGGGCCCGAGCAGTGGAGAACCAGTACTCTTTCTACTAAACAGCCCAGGGCAGGGTTCAGGCTCGTATTTTGTGGACTGGATGAGGAGCAGAAAGTTGGAGGTGACATGGGACGCTCTGCTGATGATGAAAACGGTCCAAATCACTGGATCACCCATTGTTTTGTTTGTTTGTTTTTTATTTCAAGGCAATTTCCTGTTTCTCTGATTTTAAAAGGGGGGGATCATGCCAAGCAGTGTCCGCGATGATAAATCCCTCTGTGGCTTAGTTTCAAACTCAGTTGTCAAGAATGTTATTGAACAGAGAAAGCAGAAGGCCACAGAGAAGGAGCCAGAGACAAGACCTAGATGTACAAAAAGTAGCAATGAAAATACGTGTAGAAAGAGAAAGCAAGAGGAAGTCATCCAATGGAGTCATATGGCTTTGATTCACCACCTCTGACCACTTCCTGTTCACCCTTTACCCACAGTTCCCTAGGAGCAGAGCTTGTGTCATCACCCTGCTCAAGGGTTGAGAGTTAGAAATGACCCTGAAGAAACAGTCCCTCCCGTCAGAGCTCCCGAGAGCATCCCATTAATGTTTGTAAAGCTGCTTTGAGTCTGTCCCGGATATCCTCACTGTCCCCGCAGGGTTTCCCTACAAAGTCCTGCTCTGGGTCTCTGCTCTACACTAACATCAGTACAGCGATCATGGGTGTGTTAGTGTTAGCTCGAAGATGTTTTTCTTAAAACGTGTACAGCCTAAAGGGTCTTAGTGCCTGACAATTTCCTTGGACTTGAACGGACTTTTGCCCATAGTGACGAGGAGGATGGTGTTGACATCTCGCATTATCACAAAAAGCCCAAAAATGAAAAGCAGGTGATTACTTTACCGTCAGTTTCTGCTCAAAACACACTGAACATGCATATCTATGCATACTGAAATTGTTTTCTTCTCACTGTTTTACTGATGGCTGCAGCGTACACACAGGTGGTCACATGTTGTGTTACAGATCGATGAAAAACACAAGTTCAGCCTGTGTGAATATGACAGTGTGGCTCCCATTTTGCTGTCATACTGGGTTATTTCTATGAGTGTGTGGTGGTGTATTAGAGTCCAAATATTTTTCAATGATCGGTGTGCTAAAGTTGTGTTTTTAAAACATGGTTTTCAAAGTCCCTCCATCTGGTGCTGGTTCTGTATTCAAGCTTATCATATCAATAACCTGTAGATTAGATATACTGTTAATATAGGAGTTCACTTTGAAGTAATGCCTTTAAGATATTATTATACCAAATCCAGCATTTATCGGAGGGACTGAGGACTTGTTTTTTAGAACAGGGACAGTATTATGTACTGTTTGTGCGGCCTGTTGTGGACTGGAACGGTACAGGCAGTTAGGTTAAGGGTACTTGATGGCCATGCTTGAACAGAAAGACGTGACATTGCTGCTTTACTTTATGCTGAGTACTGAACTTAAGCTTTTTAAGTTAATAATTCAAAAGAAAGCCTCAATTTTTCACCACAAAGAAGATATTCACTATAATATAAAATATCAGTTAAAATGGCCTCCTGAAGTAGAAGTTTGGTATTTTAGGAAATTTGCTACCTTGCAAAAAGTTCGCATAATGAGAAAACTGACATCAATCTCATGTCTGTAAAAAAAATAAAAATATGAAGCTATACTACTAACAGCCGGTTAGCTTAGCTTAGCTTAAAGACTGGAAACAGGGGTAAACATCAGCCCCTGAAGGTCCCCCAGAAACGCTCAGGGAAGCGGCTCTGTGCTGCTCTTTAATGGAGGTGGTGTGGTTAACCAGACGTACACATGCCAAACCAACCAGTTAAGTTAGTCTCCACCCTTGAAGTCTCCCACTCAGAGGACGAAATGGTCCTGAAAGGTATGGCTGTGCAAAGGTAACGAAATCCACCTACCAGCACCTCTGGGCCTCACTAAGTAATGGGTATTGTGCTGTCTGTTGGTCTGGTTGAGACATATCGTGCACATGAGCTTTAGAGATGCTAGTAGTTGGATTTTATTCCTTTTGGACTGAGCAAGGCTAGCTGTTTCCTTGACTTCCTGTCTTTGTGCTAAGCTACATTAGCCGGTTGCTTTTTAAAGCATGTTTAGACACACCTGAAAACACCTTTCAGCTCCTGTAGTAAAAACATGCAACACTTTTGTTCAGTTGGAATAAACATATCAAGAGTCAGCGTCTGTCTTTTCAAGCACGGTCGTTTAGCTTCGAAGGTGAAGTGTCACCTTCAGTCGAGGGGCGGACGGAGCAGTTCATGTGCCAATTTGAATCCTATTTTTGAAACATATTTATTCCTCAGCCGTTGTAAATTACATTTTTCCTATTGAGTCTTATTTATGTACAATTGATTGATTCTTCTTGATGAAACATCCTCAGTGGAAACTGTCCGTTGCAAGAGCCCATCTCACATATCACAGATTGCTCATGTCTCCCTTTTATTTTCTTAACACTTCTTAAAGGTAAATTTTCTGTTGTCTGACTGAGTTTTGAAGAGTCTGTGCAATTTTGTACAAAGTGATGTACTTGACATACTTCTTTATATTTCTGTGAATAAAATGTGAACAAACAACTATTTTGTGCAGTTCAGTCACTCGTGAATGTCAAAATCTGGGGGTTCGGACTGAAACGTTGGAGATTAAAGGCTCAGAAAAGTGAAAAGAGCTTTAGTGCTACGAACATAATCTGATAAAGCATTTATAGTGATGGGGTGTCGAACTGTTGAGATAAGTGTCTCATATTTCACACGTCTGTGGGAGAATAAGATTGTGTGTGAATGGCTTCATGTGGTTCTTTTATTTCAGTCAGCCTATGTTTTATAATTAGGCCTAATATGTGAACACTTTGAGTCATACTACATTCAGTGTGCTTAAAGTGTTTGAAGGTTTGACCATTTACCAGGTTTGATGTTTCTAATATGTATCATCTTAAGGGAAATTGGATGAATAAAGACATACTGTTAACAACAGCAGCAGCAGCTCTCGGCAGGCTGAGACCTCGGTAACATGCATTAACATCATCCCACACAGTTTAAACTCACTGAGCCCGTCGGTCCTCCAGCGTTAACCCAGAGATCATTTAGATGCGTTTAGGAGCCCTCTAGAGGTCAGATCTTATAACACTGCAGAAGAAATGTTTTATTGTATTCACTTAATACAGTTTTCCCTTACACAAAATAAACTATTTAACATAATATGGCATCTTGTTTGTACAGTACATACACATATACACACTGAAACACCTGGAAGGAGGCATCAAAATGTGCATTCAGTTACTAATAAGAACAAATGTTACTCTTCAGAGTAATCTTCTACATTACAGATCCAGTGTGTAGGTAAAGGAAGAGTTATTGTGCGTTGCTTCGGCATGATACAATGCATATTGTTTTTACATCCTTTTGCAATATTTAGATGAACAGAACTGAGTTTAAGCTGCCAAAAAAGTTATTTGGCATCAAACTAATAGAAAGTAAATAAATTAGGGTTTAAATAGAAATTTAACAACTGGTTTAATGCAACATCTAAACAAATAAGCATAAACTTTAATAAGATTGTGATATGACACTGAAACCCATTTTTAAAATAAAAGTGCCACTAAATGTGAAATATGATATCTTATCGCCTATAAACTGGTGCTTTTGAGTTTCCAGAAAGAGCGAATAAATAATCCATCCAGGTTTCCAGTAATTTGACGTTACTGTTTTTGATCCAGCTCCCTTTTTTTTTTTTTTTTACAGCATGTACATGTATAATGTTTGTTTAATGCTCTTTAAAGATCCTACACGTGAAGAAATACAGAAACCATTCATTTGCTTGTGAATGAAACATCTGAGCTCTCGTTCACTCCAGCACCACGCTAAATAAAATCATCTTCAACTGTTAGAAACTGTGCAAACACTTTGCTTTCAGTTGCAAAACAAACCCGAGTCAACCCCTTTATAACCCCTCTCCACCTCCTCCATAGAGACAGGTTGCTGCTTCTACTTCAGGACCTAATATTGACTAATATTAGGCCGGCCATGGTCAGCAGCATCGCCACGGTCATCTCCATCAATTTCGCCTGCCTCCCCTTGGCAATTTTCTCCTTGTGCTCCTCCTGCATGTGCTGCTTCCTGGCCCTCATGTCCCTCTCCCTCTGCAGCTGCTCCCCGTAGTGAGCCTGATAAAAGGCGTCAAAATCAAACATGACCTTCCCCCCAGTTTGGGAGAACCGGCGTGCTCTGTGTTGATGCTGCTGCTGCTGCTGCTGATGTGGGGAGCCCGTGGATCTGCTCGTGGTCTCTTTGGAGGGCGGTCTCCCTGCACTTTGGATGTCCGACTGGCTCAGAATACCTCGGTCGTACTTCTTCCTCAGGGTGATGTTGCCCAGCACCGTGTAAGCCTCGCTGATCACAGAGAAGTGCACGGTGGCCTCCTTGTCCCCCGGGTTCTTGTCCGGGTGGTGGATGAAGGACTGCTTGTAGTAGGCCGTCTTGATCTGGGACTGTGTGGCACCAGGGGACACCTTGAGGACGTCGTAATAGGCCGTCCTGCTTCTGTACAGCAGAGGAGCGTCTTGTGTCCTCCTGTTACTCCTCCAGCTGTAGCTTCTAGTCGCAGACGCCTGCGAGGTATCGGGATGTAGTTTAAGACGCCTCAGTCTCAGCCCACAACCTGGCCTCTCTGACCCTCGCTCAGCCAGAATAAAGAGGACAGTGCAGAAAGCTCGGAGCTGCTGAGGGGACGTGAAGGCGTCGGGGTGGACGGACACAGCTCCTCTGGTCCAGGATGTCATCCTACCAGGCAGGAGCAGAGGCTGGAGTCCTGCTGAGAGGTACAGGGCGGTCCTGTAAGCTTGCAGACTCTCTCTGGTGTGAGCAAACCCAATGAAACGGGGTGAGCCGAGCTCCAAAGCTGCGGCACAGGGCAAAGTCCCATTCCCCTGCTGACTTTCACTTGTTGTCACTCTGTAAAGTTTCTTTGACTCGCGTTGTGTTGCTCTGCTTTTTGCCACCGGTTGAGTTTCACGTTGCTCCGCTGTTGCTTTCTCTTTATTCCGACTGTCACTGAAGCTGCAGTGAACCAGCAGACCTCCGGGACTTTCTCCGATGCACACCGGTCGGCCCTGGCTGTTTCTGAGAGCGGACAGCCGGTAAACTCCGCTCCCCAGCCGCTGGCCGACCTCTGCCATTTTACCGAGTACGGAGCGGTGAAGATGCCGGAAAACGGCCGCAGCATCCGGCGACGTCACACGGCGAGGAACCAATGAGAGTCGATGTTTACAGGAAGTACTTATCCTACCCGACCAATCATTTATCAGTAAACAAGGTGACGGAAAGAGTAATATATGACGTAGTGGCATATAATAACACACTTCTAATGTTGTCTGTTCTAGTAAATAAACTCTAGTATAACTATTGTTATTATTTACTTACAAAAGTTAAAGAGGCTCATTTTAAAGTTGTGAAACGTTTTTGAGAATTAGGTTTAATTTGGTGTAGTTAAAATAGATAGATAGACTTTATTA